ATCCTAAAATCCGATATATTTATTTTTATAATAGTTGGTTCTATAGGGTTAAAATAGGTCAGAATAGGTATTTTAATAAACGTACGCTTAAAATTATTAAAGGTTATAGTTATTTCCTTAATTAATTTCTAAATTTTTTAATTTAGCGTATTACTCTTTAAAATAATTTAAGCTAGCGTTAAGAATCTTTTAATAAATTTCTTATAGAAGTTAATAAACCCTAAGAAGGATTATAATTCTTTTAAAGTTTATAGAAGCTCCTAGGCTAAAATTACTTTTACTTTATTATTAATTATTCCAATACTTTGTAGAAAAATAATATAGCTTAGGAATTTAATTTCCTAAATTCCTTAGTTATACTTTTAGGGGGCGACGGCGAAGTGGTTATTTATTAAGCGCTTTAAGACTTTTAGAACGAGGCGATTATATTCTTTTTCTATATTAGTATATATTAGAATTGATTAGATTTATAAAAAGGTAATTTATTATAGTTTAGAAGGTAGAAGGAGCGTTAATTAAGCTTATAGGTATAATAATATATTTAAAGAGCCCGTATTTGTATCGGAACGCGGTTTTTTATTTATATCCTTCAGCTATTCTTATTAGGAAGAATCCCGATTTAAAATTAATTTTAGTATAAAATTGAACTATTTTAAAGGTATATTAAAGTTTTATAATAAGGGGTATTAAATATTGGACGGGAACTATTATTCGGTTAAGGGCTCAGTAATCGATAATAGATTTAAAGGGATCGTCGGAATTTTTTTTAATTATAAATATAAGGGGGGCGCTATACGAGGTAATAAATTTCCTAATTCTACCGGATTTTAGTATTTTATTAAGCTAGGGTTTGAGAGTATTAAATTTCCTACTATTTATTACAAAGACGGGGCCTTAAGGCGGGGTTTATCTATTAATAATATTAATTTTATAATTTTATAATTAATAATTTAGTATCTGTATAGCTATTACTTTACTTATAATAGGGATATAAGTACGGAATTTATTTAAAACGGCGGTAATAATAGCGTTAATTTTAATCTAAATATTAGCGATAATTATAGTAGGTAGAAGCCCGAGGATAATAGAATTAATATAATTCTTCTAATAGTAATTTAAAGCGAATTTGATTTTTTAGGTTTTATTAAAGAAGAAAGCGGGCTCGTACTATTAGAACTATTAATAAGGGAGGATAATATTATATTTATTATTTATTATAGAGAATTCGAAATTGAAACGGGTATAATAATTTTCCTAGTGCTATAGTACAATTATTTCAATATAATACCAGCCGCCTATTGTATCGATTACTACGTTGAATCCCGTAAGGGTATAAATATTAATTCGTTTAATTAGAGGAAGTTTTTAAACGCGGGCTTAATAGAGGGATATAATTGGGATTGAATTTCCTAGGTTTAAAAGGATTCGAATTAGGTGTTCCTTATTATTATAAATTAGAATTATATAAATAATAGAGTGTAGCCCGGAATAAGGTTTTAAATAAAGTTTTTTACGAGGTTATTAGTTATTATCGTTAAAATTTAGCCTTTTGAAGGTATAAACGACGGAGTTAATTGAATTAGTACTAAAGTAAGGTTAAAGTAATTTATATAATACTTTATAATAATTATTCAAAAATCCGAATTAGAGTTTTAATTTATATTTATAATTTATATAATTCTAGTAATAGCGGCTATTTTAGCTTTCTTAAATTAGGATTTGTTATTAGCAATATTCTTAGTTCCCTCTTCTTTACAGTCATTATTTTTACGTTTGGCGGAGACGGTAGCCATTTAAAGCTATTATTATTCTTTAGGCTAGGGTAAATCCTTACTATTATTATCCTTCTTTACAAAATATTCTATAATATAATAATTATTATAATTATAGTACTAGTAGGAGATTCGATCCTGTTTACGGTAATTAATATTTATTTAGTTAATACTTTTTAATATATTGCGAACTAAAGGCTATTTTTTCTTTTTAATTGAGTAATTAGATTATTTTAAGGATTAATTTCGGTCGGAAGGGGAGTATATATCCTTATAGTATTAACCTAATTTCGAAGGCTCCGTCTTTAAAGTAGGCGCGTCTTTTCCTATATATTCTAAATCCTAAAGTATATTCTTATAAATTCTATTAACTTCTTAAATAGTAGTAAGGAATTCTTTATTAGCATTTGGTACTTTACTTCAATTTTAGTAAATTATTTTTATAATCTTTAAGGGTAAGTTATAGTAAATATAATTATAGAAGGACGTTTTAAACTACCGGATTACTTCGTTAAAATTAGTAAGGGTTATAATATAATACATAATATCGCCCTTATATTTAAATTCGTTTATTTTTTTTAGGTTCTAATATTATTTTAATATATTAATAAAGTAATTTCGAATAGTTTCAGCGTATTTAATTTAGAAGTCAGTAAACCGGATGCTTTTAATTGTATAGATTTATTATTAGTATTAGAGCTAAGTATCGTCCCTAAAGTAGGATCCTACTTAATTAATCTAATAGGTATTTGAAGTGAAGTTAGTATAATAAACGTCAATATACATCTCGATTTAGTACTACTAAGCGTAAAACTTCAATAAATTTTAATTATTATAGAAAGTAAGCTTATTAAATTAAAGGGACGTTATATTAATAGTAATAGTATTTCTTAACGAATTAAGGAAATCGGCGGTTTATTTTCGTTTAGAATTATTAGGGAGCCCTATAAAGTAGGGTCTCCTAGGGGGTCTTAGGGGTCCTTGCCCGGATTTATAGCCGGAGTTAATAATAGCGGCCTCGAAAGGGGATATTCTAGTAGCTTTATATTAAATTATTACTTCCCTAATTTATTATTGAGTTTGGGTTCGGAGAATAGTATTATTTCCTAATAAGGAGGAGGTCGGGTTCGATCGAAAGGCGGAATTTAAGTATAAAAGGGGTTGTATTATAGTGTAATATTCAAAGATATATATAATTAAAGTAACGGATACAGCCTTGGGGGTAAATTAACCAGTTTATTTAAGGGTATTCTAAATATTAACGGCGAATTGGGCGATTTATTCCTTTAAATTCTTAATTTAGCTAGGGTCGACCTACTTATTAAGGAGGTCGTTAACTTTAAAATTAAGGGTATTAACTTAAGCTTCTTTATAGCCGGCCTATTCTTTAATATAATTTAAAAGGGGTTAATAATGGGTAGTTTTTCTATAAAGGGATTTAATAGCCTATTACTATTTAATAAATTTATTTCGAAGTTAAATAATAATTTTCTAGCGTTTTTCATCCTTTTTACTATATTAAGTAATAGCAGTCTGAACTTTTAATACGAAACGGGAATTAATTTATTAAATTTACTACTTTAGGCAGGCGATTTAAATTTAGGAGGCTTCTATACCTTTTATAAAGAAGTTTATAATAAGGGAATAATTATAGTATAAAATTTCGTACTATTTTTTAATATTAGAAAAGACTTTAGTATATTCCTTATCGACGGATATAGTAATTTTACGGAGTTAGGTATAAATATAATCTAATTAGTTATAAAACGTAATGAATTAAGTAGGGGGGTCCGTAATTTAAATAGTACTAGAGGGGATAGTATTATTAGTATTGCTTATAACGGTATTAAAATCTCCCGGCTAATAGAATATAAGGGAGGAATTCTTAATAGACTTTATAGGATAATTTTTAGGGGATATTATAATAAGTAAAGAATTTAATAGTAGGGTAGTTTGAGAGGGAAATAATTTATTTATAATAAGGGTAGTATTTTAGGTTTAAGATAGTAGTTTAATTTAATTAATAAATTATTTTGGTTTTAAAGGCCTTATTAATCCTTTTAAACCTTTCTAATTAAATTAGATTTAATAGTTTTCTTATATTAAAAATTTCCTTCCTCTTATTGAATATATATATAAATCTAACTATCTTATTTAACTATAAGGTTATAAGGTATTTAATAAACAGTGAATTATCGAGGGCTTATATATAAATATATATAGGGATCGTTTGAATGCCTTCCTCTAATATTTTTTCATTATTTAATATTAGCGTCGTTGCCGATACTGCCCTATTATAACGGTTGGTTTTAAACTATAGTTTTTGTAATAGTTTGCTAAGCGAGCTACTTTAGTGTACGTTAGTATAAAGGGTCTAATAAATTAAGAGGAGCCCTAGTTTGTTCGGTAAATGTACTATTAGTTAAAATACGCCGTTGGGAATGAAGGGATTTAGGGATCCCAGCTAAGTTGTACCGTAGCTGGTCCTAGATGCCTAAAGTATTTATACGAGGCTGGGATAACTTTGGTAAGGCTAGTAGAATTGGGTTATATAATGCGGCTCTGCGGGAGCCGTGCTGTCGGGTCGGGGTACCGAATGGCTGGATCAGGGTTAGGGTTAGAATGTCCGTGTGACACCAACGGAGCCGCTTGGGGAACCACGTGGTCTCGCAAAAACTCTTGCAACGACCCAGACTAACTGCTTGAAAGTAGTCTCTAGCGCTTACAAGGCTGCGTCTACGTTTAGTGTGGAAACGGAGACCTTCTGTCCACCCCTCAACCTCTACTTCAACAAGAGGGTTAGAGCGTTCAAGGAGCGACTCGCCCGCTCACCGGTAGCGGCCTTCGTTAGAGGGACGCCAGCCTGGGTGGCGGCAGAGTTACGGGGTAGAAGGGGAGGTAGACAACTACAGCCGTCCCCGGTCAGCAGCTGTAACGAACGGCAGTCTGATCTGCCTAAATGGGATAGCTGAAGGTAAAGACTATTAAAAGACGTTCGGTGAAGCCAAAAGGTTCACAACAAGTAAGGTAGCATTATACTTGTCTCGATAATAATAATCAATTAACTACTGCAGAACTATCTAGTGTCGAGGATTCTCGGGGTTCTTATACGTGCCCTGTCCGTCCATATAGACTGGCTCACTAGCGATGGCTCACTCGTCGTGAGCTGGCTCACCGTGAGCCTTGCCCGTGAGCCCTCCTTGTCTGATCCTGGTGTCGGACCTTGCAATGGTTACATTGCCCAGCCTTCGCTTACCGGTGGCTTGGCTAGCCCGTGTTATTCGCTTAGTTCGTAACAGCAGCCGGGCGAAGGCTGAGTGGGCTGAGCGATGGGCCCCTAAAGAAGACATCCCTAAAGAAGACATCCCGATACCGCAGGGAGAGGCGAGAGAGCCCACGCCGGGCGAAAAGGAGCGGTGGTTGGAGGCGACTCGGTGTTACGATCCAATTAGGGATTACTTATATAAGCAGACTAGATAGGCCAATTAGGAGCGCGCTGCAGTATCGGCGCGGCGACCCCCTTGTTGTTGTTATTATTGTTATTTTTAACGTCTACTTCCGCCTCCCTTAGGGCATAAGACGTGCTATATCGGTGAGTCTAGCGTACAAAATTATAAGTAGTATCCTAATTGTCTACTAAGACTATTACCCCGAGGGCAACCCGAGGCCTATTGTTAGTATAAATTACGTATTGCCTATAATATAAACGCGGCCCAACACTTCCAGTCTAATCGCCCAATGAGCGAGCTGCCAGTGCTTGGCGAGACCTGTATAACAAAGGAAAAGACATAAGAAAGGGCAAAATCACTCCTTCCCGTTCTCTCTCTTACTCTCCTCCTCCCGTAAAGCCTCCTCCCGTCTCCTTATACGGTGAACTAGCTTGTCCAAGTCTACTGTAAACTTCTTAATATCGTAGCCGTGGCCAACTTCTACCTTATAGGCTAGTAGCCCTCTTGGAGGGCGTTTTGTAGTAGTTAGAGCGGCGGACTGCGTCGTCGGAGGACGTATATTCGCTCAACTAGATTATTATTATATCCCTATTAATTGAAGGCTGGTTCTAATTAATACTATTGGAATTCTCGGAGTTGGAGGGGGCGGAACTATAGTTGGGCAGTTCGTTGGAAAATATAATAGTATTTTTCTAATTACTAGGGGGAGTAGGGCGGTTATATATTTTAGAGAAAAGGTTACTACTATTGTAGTAAATTTACTACCATTATTAAGGAGTCGGGCGGATAACGGTATTTCTTTAACGTTTTAAATATATAGGATACTTAGTATAAGTAAACTTAAAAGGGCTATAGTAATTAGTATATTAAATATAATAGTTATATTTACTATAAATAGTATATTTGTATTATAGGTATTTTGTAGCGTAAGTACACCCTTTATAATTATATTACTCTAAGTATTTTATATATTAGTTTAATAGGTAGCGTTTTTAAATAAGGTAACTAATATTATTAATATTAAAAAGATAAAAAGGAGAAATAGGCCTTTTAAAGGAGATAAACTAAATTATATAAATTCTATTAGGATAATAATATTAAGAAGAATAAAAGGTAATAAACTTTGAATTAATTTAGAATAGGATTTTATCTTTAATAATAATAATACTACTAATAGGGATAGTACCGAATTGTATTGTTATAAGTATATTCTAAATAGTGTAAATAACCTATTTCTTAAATACTTTAATTTGAATACAGCTAAAACGGGTACTAATTCTATTTTTATAAATTAAGAGAGTCTAATAAATAGTATTATCTTTAAATATAAGGGCAAAACTAGAAGGAACTTTATAATAACTAAAAATATTAGTAAGAGTGAGGCGGAGAAGAAATTAAACCTCTTTACGAATAATAAAAGTAATATTATTAGTAAAAGGGAAATCCTTATTAAATTATAGGAAGATACGGCCGTTACTTTAGGGTATAGGAGGCGGGGCAGCCTTACGGATAGGGTTAGAGTGGGGAGTAGAGCGGGAGGCTAAGGCGGAGTTTATACTCTTAGCGGCTATTTCTACGAATATAACGGGTCCTTTACCTATTGGGGTAGTAGTATTTAGGGTAAATAGGGTTAGGAATATAGAGCTTTTCTGTAGGGCGGCGGTTATAATTCGTACGAAGTATTTGGCTTCGCGGGCGTAAGTAGGTGAAATAATAGAGAAGCAGGCGAATTTAGAATCGAGGAAAATAGTAAAGGAGTAGTAGAATTCCGCTTTTGTAAGAGCTTCGGAAATAAAGGTCTCGGCGATAGACGAGATGGGTCTAATAGTAATAGTTATAGTAATAATATAGGTATAACGGACTTCCTCGTCTGCAGTCCGGGCTCTTTTAGCCGACTGCGCCGTCGTAGAGGGCGGGGGCGGGGGCGGGACGTAAAAAATGTCTGGCAAAGGAATAATTAGTATTATAGCCGGCAGCGGTAGTTTAAGGGCCCTAGAGGGCGAAGGCGTAGATATTTCATTACTACGGTTGTTAAAATATCGATTGTAAAAATAGCAATTTAGGTAGTATTAAGAATTCTGCGGGCAACCAAGCGTTAAAACTAACACTTAGTGCTAAGACTTTTGGTTGTAGGAGGAAGATAGCGGCCCCCTTATAAAGACTAGTATATATAAAATAGCCTTCCTAGGCCTCTTATATTATAGCTCTTTAGTAAGTAACTAACTAATACAATTGACTAGTACTTTTCGGCTACTACTACTATTACTACTCTTTATTCCCAACGATATACTCTTATGCTTGTAACGGTCCGTTACACTCGGAGGGAGTAGATAGCGAGGTAGTACGTTAGGGTAGCCGAAGCGACAAGGAAAAGGAAGAAGTTAAGTGCCGTAGGGGTGCGTGTGCTGTTCGATAGGACTACGCTATAGTACTATATATAGCTTAGTATAGATACGAAGTTATCCTTGTACGACCTTTCGAAGGCTATAAGCTCACTCCTAGTACAAATTAGGACGGGTAAAATAGGCTTACGGGCGTTCCTCTTTAAAAAGAGAGTACCGGAGGTAACAACGCCGTACTGCTAGTGCGGGTTAGCGAAGGAGATATTTAAATATATTGTTTTAGAATATAGGGGAACGGAAGCTAGGAGGAATAATACAATTAAGTTATTCTGTCCCTATTTTAATAGGCATTCCTTATTAATAACAACTCCTATTTGCCTATTACAACTATAAACATCCGACGTATATATAAACCACGAAGCAAGGTTATTAATTTGGATATTCTCCCCTTCTCCCTTATATTTAGGATAATTGAATAGCTTATCAATCTTGTAATACTTATTTATATACCTTAAAAAACTATTTCCTATATAGAACAATTAGCCGCATTTTATACAAGGAGCGGATTTAGACTTGGTAATTATAACCGTTAGTTTGGGTTTAATAATAGGTTTAATAAAGAGATCTAGAGTATTAATTGAACTACGTACTCTTTTAATATAGTTATTCTACTCTAATACCCTCTCGATTCTATATTCTTTCTTTCCTTACTACTAATATTCAGGGTATAAGAAAGGTTCAAAGGTTGTTACTGTAAAATGGACGCTCCAATAGTATCTACTAAGGTTATATCAATAAGTAAAACTTTATTAGTAGAGAAAACATATAAAGAGCGTAGAAGCTATTTCCTTATATAGCGTATATAGTCAGCTAGAAAGCTCCTACAAATAGTGATAGACTTTTTCTTATTTTAATATACGCTAAATTAAATCTTATAAGCCTCTTTTTATATTAATTATAATATATTTACAATAAATTTAAAAAGCGTTAATATACAATATTAAAGAAAATAGTAAGATAATAAAGTATAAACCTATTCTATAAATACTACGCGCGTTCTTACTAGGCTTTAGTCTTCTTATAAAGCGAACGCTTATATATTATTACTATAAATTCGTTAACGTTAGTAAATATTCTTCTTTTTTATTCTTCGACGTCGAGGATAGTCGGTAGTATTGGCGGTTCTTATAGCTCTATCCTTTTATATTATATATAAATAGAATATAATTGGTACTGTAAGATTCGAATAATACCCTCTCAAACTATAATAGCTAATAGATTCAATATAATTAAAAGGAGAAATTTATTAGAAAATTTGGAAGGGGGGTTTTATCTAAAAAAACTAATACAACCCTTATAATATAGAAGTTGTAATTTATATAGTAGAATCAATTAGGAAGAATGGATATATAGTAAATATAATGAGAATGGGATAAAAGTATGTTTGTTTGGTTCGGTCAGGAATTTAAGAGTAGAGACGCAATATATATCTTAAGGCCCTTTTAACTTGCTTAAAGTAATATACGTATAGAGAAGAGTATTTACTAAAGCCAACTACACCTCCCAAAAGCTAACTACACTTCCTAATTAGAAGTATTAAATATATAGAGTAGGAGTTAAGGGTAATAGTAGGAGTAAGTACCTTGTATAGTGTATGTGTAAGATTACAAACTAATAAAAGCAAGCGTGTATATAGTTAATTAATATATATATTCTATAGAGAGGATAAGAGACTAGCGGGTTTGGAAGGCTAGATAGTAATAGTCTAGGTAGGGTACGGACCTACTAATAGTATGCCTAGCCTACTCAGCTGGGCTTGGCGTAAGTGGAACGGTGCACTCGACGGCGAAGGTAATAGAAAAACGGTTCTAGAAATGGGGGCGGCGTTTTTAGCTAAGTTATTTAAAAAACGGCTCCTATAGATAGTCTTCCAATATATCTTCTTACGCAAAAGAGTGGCAAGGGTAGAAAAGTATATATTTAGTTATATATAGGGGGTAGAAAATAGAACCCCCAGCTCCCGAGTTACTAATAATCCCCTTCCGTTTGAAACGGACTAAGAATGCTAATTAATAAGACTTACTTTTTTCTATACTTTAATTCGCGAGAAACTTTTTAGTGAATTTTAACTTTAATAACGGGTTACTCGCACCCCCAGGCGTTCGTTTTTACTACGCTTAAAAAAGATTCATAAATATTATAAAGGATATATATTAATATCCTAAAATTTTAGCGCATTTTATTATATTTCTAAAATAAAAAGTATAAGGTTATTTTAATTTAGGATTATTCTATCCTATTATTATTATAATAGTCTAATTACCCGTTGTAATTATATAAAATTATTTAAATAATTAAATTGCTAATTTCGATTATTTATATTCTTTTAAAATATGATTTAATAGTATAATAACTTATTAATGTTATAACAATTACTCTATTATTTGGGGTCGTTCTAGTATTTTATAGAATAGTTTTTACTTAGGATCGTTTTAATTTAAAATCGTTCTAATTTAGAATTATTCTACTTTAGGATCATTCTAACGTAAAATCGTTCTAACTTAGGATTATTCTAATTTAAAATTATTTTAATTCTAAATCGTTCTAATTCTAAATCGTTTTAGCTTAAGATTATTCTACCTAAGGATCGTTCTAGCTTAGGATTATTCTAACTTAAAATTATTCTAATTTACATACTAAATTCAAAAAACGAACTATTATACCTACTACTTATAGAATAACCCTAATTGTATTACCTAAGTACGTAGGAGAGAGTATAATAGAATAGAATATATATATTTATATAATTAAACCTATAAAAAATAGGACGATATTCGCTTACTAGCGAATGTTAAAATATATATTATATAGGTAGTTATAACCCTATAATAGAGAATTATGATAAAGGTAAGAATGGAGGTTTAAAAGGTCAGTTAAATCTATTCCGGTTTTAAAGTTTCGATAATAAGCTAAACTATTCGTACCTTCGTCGGATTTTCAACTACCTCTTTCGAACAAAGGGATTTAAATACAATTATATTTTTAATTAAATAGAGAAATTATTCTACGAATAACTATAAGGTAAAGAGGAGGAGGATTATATTAATTCTTAATTATTATTTAATATCTTATTTTTTTACTTTACTACCTTTTTTTTCTCTTATAATAGATAGATTTAGAATTAGTTAATTTAGAATAAATTAGTTTCAATATACCGGCTTACTATAATTTATAGCCCTATTTACGCTACGCACCTATAAATAATATAAGTTACTACACCGGCTATTGATATATTATTACTAATTTTATAAACTTATAACGGAAAGCTATAATCTTTATCTAACCTAAATAATTAATTTAGTACTCTAAACCTTCTAAGTCTATAAATACACAGTTTTAAAAAAGAAATAGAATTTCGGTAATTAGTATATAATTAGAAGGAAACCGCTAACTGTTTTGTACTTAATAAAATAATAATATAAAACCCTATACTCCCTTATAACTTAAAGAAAATACTATATTCTAATTCCTTTTTATTACGAATTTAAATAAATATATAGGCCGATTAAATTATCGGAATATAGTAGCCTCGTTTATAATTAAATAATATAACCCTAAATTTTCTATTGCAATTAAATCCTTAGTATCGTTTTTAATATTATTTTTATTTTCTTTTTTAATATGCTTACGAATTTAATTGAATTCTCTTTCTCCGCGTCCTTACCTACCAACTGCAATACCTTTCTAAGAATTATGTAACTAAAATACTTTTTAATACTTCTATAATTAAATTTAATACAATTAGTTCTAGGAATTTATAAGTTCTTTCTAATTAAAATAGGAATTAGCTAAATATTTAATAAAAGAATAGAATTATAGAATTAATATTATTACCTAATTATTTTACTAATATAAAAATACTTTAATAAGGTTGAATATAGGTTTTTCCTACCGATGGAGGATTAAATCTATTTTAAAATCACTCTTCGGTATAAACCTATACCCATCTCCAATCGCTGTATCTATAATAGAAACTTTAGAGAAATCGCTAATATAGAACTTAATACTAATATTAAAGCGAATTTCTAAGGGAATTATATAATACTTATATATAATAGAAATTCTATTTTATAATATTTAATATATAATATAATAATTAATTTAAATCTTAAGTTCTATTATATAATTATACATTACGTATTATATTTATTTAATATCTAAGTATTACTTCTTATTTATATAGAACAATTATTCTATTTTAAGTACTATATTAACTAATACAATTTTAACATCGGCCGTAGTACCTTAAGGTAGGCCTGTTCTATTATAATACCCTTTTACTTATTATAAATACTCTTCTATAATAAGTACTCTTCTATTTAATCCCCGTTTTTAGTTATATTCGGCCGCCTTTTACACTTAATTATTTTATTAGTATAAGAAGAGTTTAATAAAGTTGAATATAGGATTTTTATTTTGAGTTAGAACGATCCAAATTTTGAATAATCCTAAATTAGAACAATCCTAAACTAGAACGATCCTAAGTTAGAACGATCCTAAGATAAAACAATCCTAAATTAGAATAATCCTAAACTAGAATAATCCTAAATTAAAACGATTTTAAATTAGAACAATTATAATTCTAAGCTATAAAGATTCTTTTTACCACCCTTACTAAACCTTAATAGGGTTTTTAATTAAGTAGGGTATTTTAAAATAAAAGAAAATTAAAAGGTAAAACTAAAATAAGTAAAAGAATATTAATAAAAGTATTAAAGAGAGTCTAATTTGAATATATTTTAAAATATTCTAATATATTATTTTTAAATCCTACTTCTATTTATTATTATTAAAAAATATTTAAATAATCTAGGTCGGCTTCCGCTATATATTCATTATATTAATATTAAATCCTCGCTTTAACCTTTGAATATCTAATCTTTAAAATTATTCCTATTAATTCCTATATTATAATAGGTTTATACCCGTATACCCGTACAATCGAAAATAATAAGTAATAATGGATTTAAAGAATATAATATATTTCGACGATTTTTATATAGGGTAGAATATACGCCTAAGCCCTAAATAAAGTAATATCTTTTTAATAGCTAATAGTAATCGAAAAGTAAATAGGACTAATAATTATTAATACTCTAATTACTATAAT